GCCATCCTGCCTGGTCTTATTTCGACTGCTGCCGACACACAGCCGGCGCCGAAAAAGACCGAAAAAAAAGGCGATTTAAAAAAAAAAAAAAAAATCGAGCCGTTTCGCCTCGGTACCAAATCCGCTATCCTGTTAAACTGGAAACCATTACCGGCAGATTTAAGGCCGGACAGATTGTTTCGTGTGTGGATATTCGAGATAAACGTACATCCGCTGGGAAAACTAAACGTCTGTAAAATACTTCATTTAATTTTCATAGGGATTCCTCTCGCCCGGCTGCCAGGACTCCAAATGCTGGGGAGTAATTTGGAGGTGAGAACTCCACATCCCCCCGCCTTTGGAGGGGGAAGCATTTAACATTAAATTCCATTAGCACCTAAATTGTTTCTTAAAGACATCCGCTCAGACACAATGACTTCAGTGCGGGCATCTCATGCAAATACATTTCTCAAATTTTAAACCTTGTTAAAGCTCGTCTCGCACCTCGCATCGGGCTTTGCACTTGAGAAAACAATAGGCCTCGAGATTTTTAGCCTTTCTCCGGGTAAATATTTAGAGTGGAAGTCGCTAAAATATTTGGCCGTCTTGTATGAAATAGTCTGGCACAGTTCGAGCCGGCAGGAGTAGTAAATGAATAATAGATGAGGCGGGAAGATGCGATTATTTTTGTTACCCTTCAGCTCAGGCGATTTTCCACCGGGAAAGCCCGGGCTCCTTCGCCCCTCTGCCACCTGATTTGGGTGGAAGTTTCCGAGCCTCAGATCCTCTGTTCCCTATTACATAATTTAATAAACTGTTGCAAAAGCACCTTAAATCACCTCGAGCAAGACTTTCAAAACACTTTTTTTTTTTTTAAATGAGAAAATTTTATTGCCCTGCTCACACCATTTAAATTTAATGGAAAGCATTCCTAGAAAGGGACGTTTTGCCACTTGCAACGGGATTTTGGAGTAATGACGGATTTTGCATGGATTTACATGGTTTCTCTCTCTTTTCTCTCTCTCGGTATCCGTGCATGAAAACCATGCTCACAAGCGCTGAAGTTACATACAAATACTTTGCGCATTGCAAATGTATAAGGCGTTTAATGGAAAAATATATATGTAGATATACATCTTTCCTTTTTTCAGCAGTACGACAGAATTTAGTTTTCGCGCTGTATTTTGCGTTTCTGCGGAAAGACCTCGCTGAGATTCGGCAAGAATCTACATTGATCACTCCACAAATTAGAAGAAATCAGTAAAATATAATATCCACTCGAAAAGTGGGAAGGGGGGGGAGGCGGGAGCTGGGTGCGGGGAAGAAACCAAAACAAACGGAGCTGTGTGGTGGAGCGAGGAAAAAAAAATCATCCTTATTTTATCACTCTGATCATTTAACATCTCTCTGTCTGAGTCTCTCTGTCTGTTTATATATACCTACGTACACACATACATACACAGGCACGAGCTGAGGGGGAAAATCTGCCGAAAGAAACACGAATTACCTGTGTGCGTCCTTTTGTGAATTTTGAGGTTTTCTGATCTGGCGAAAACTTTTCCGCAGCCGGGGAAGGGGCAGGGGAAAGGTTTCTCTCCCGTGTGCACTCGGATATGATTGACCAGTTTGTATTTCGCTTTGAAGGGCTTGCCTTCCCGGGGACACTCCTCCCAGTAGCAGACATGGTTGCTCTGCTCGGGTCCCCCAACGTGCTCCACCGAGACGTGGGTGACCAACTCGTGCATGGTGCTGAAAGTTTTATTGCAACTTTTTTTGGGGTTGTTCAGCTGCTCGGGGTCGATCCACTTGCAGATGAGCTCTTGCTTGATGCACTGCTGCCGCATGTAGCGGAAAAAGGCACCTGGGTGGTGGTGGTGGTGGGCTGCCATGTTCATGCCCATATTCATATTCATGGGGCCGTACTGGTTGTGCAGCTGAGCC